TGCAGCTATATTTGTTTGGCGTTGAAGGGAACTCATTTAATGAAAGTTTTATTGCTTGTTTTCGAGCTATATAACAGAAAAAAAGAAGGAAAAAAGCCAGAAAACGTAACGTCTAAGCACTGACACAGGTGTGCATAAAATATGGCAAAGTCATGGCATTATTTAATGGGCAAGTGACTCAAAGTGAGCTTGGTACGTCTGGCAAGAGCAAGGGAAGTCATAAGTAAGTTTCCATGTTGAATTTAGTGTCAAAAAAGGGACTTCTAAACGGTATTTGTCCATTTCTATCACAATAGCAATCCTTTTTAAATGAAATACACATTGTTTTGTCTTCAAACTTCGAGTTTATCCGCCGGATAGTGGATTTAAACTACCTCCGAACCTCGGATAAATTTATCCAACGGATAGTGCATTTTATCCGTTGGACAGCGCTATCCAAGCTTCGTACAACGCGATTTTCACTCCGGATAAAATTTATCCGCTGGATAGGGACTTATCCACCGGATAGCGATTTATCTACCTTTCGTACAACCGGCCCCAGGATTTTTAAGAAAATGAAATAGTAATATATTGTTTTCAAATCTTTGCCTTCTTCACTCAATCCTGGCAGTCGGCAATATTTTCAGATCAACGAGATGACTATACCCATGCATAGCCACGCGCCCGCAAATATTGATGAACTTTAGCCTTCGCTAATGCCTTGGATAGCCGAGCGGACGTAGTACCCGATTCGCGAATAGCCGAGCTGATGTAGTACCCTCGCCACGGCCTACGCCCGGAACGCCTCGGGAATAATCATAATAATAGTTGTCCGTGTTCTTTCTTAATTCTTTAGTTTCGTCATGTACTTTAATCTGTTGCAAATGTTCTAATATAAGAAATTAAGACCACCCTGGCCTTGTTAAAATTTGTCTCACGACTAGTGTAGTATTCTTATTTATTAACCAGGGTCAATTGCAAGTTTTGCAGTGATGTATTATAATTCCACGGAGAGTTTGGTAAACAGTTCCAGGTTGGGCGAGTTAATGAAACTTATGGAATTTCGAGACCAGCTTGAATCAGTAGAGAAAATTATATTTATCTTCATTTCCATTTTTACCATTTTGGGCAATACTATGGTCTTGGTTGCTACATGGAGAGAAAGAAGTCTTCATCAACCAAATAAATATTGTATTGCTTGTCTTGCTGTCGCTGATCTTTTGGTTGGTATATTTGTTGCACCACTAAACGTGTATCGACTTAATCTCGATCATGAAACGATAACTGCCATCTCTATTCATCTATGTCGTTTTATGGTGTGGATAGATACCTTCGCTCTAACGGCATCTATTTACACACTGACGTTCATCAGCTTCGACCGATACCGAAAAATAAAGAACCCAGCACTTCAGTACAGATCCAGAATGACAACTTTCAAATCATTGAAAATCGTCTTTCTCATTTGGTTCATTTCATCTGCCGTAGCCACCTACGCCGCCACTCCCCATTCAGGAAGCTGGGGAATCTTGGCCACAGGTGGCCGTTTGTGCCCCTCCGATGTCACTAAAACAAAAGGATTCTATACTTTTCTTTCAGTAAGTGCGTTTTGTCTACCCACCTTAGTCATACTAGTTATGTACTCTCTCATTTATGTTGTTGTTCGTAAACGGGAAAAGATGCTGCAAAATGGCGAACTGGGTCAAACTCATAATGATCAGAACCAACGACGAGCCTTTCGTAAAGATGTGAAGGTTATCCGAATGTTATTGATTATCGTTGGTGTGTTTATACTTTGTTGGGCTCCTTACTTTATTTACATATTGCTTGTGTACTACAATCCAAATTTTGTTGATATGTATAGCAGGTCATTTAGCAACTTGCGTCAGACGCTCACAACACTCTTAGTAATAAGAACTGCACTTCCTTATTTTAACAGTTTATGCAATCCAATAATTTATGCCTGTCTCAACAAAACGTACAGAAAGGCTTTCAAAAATCTGCTTCAGCGAATGATGGGCCCAACAAGCTCAAGAATACGACCACTGCCAAACGGAATAGAGTTACATCCAGTGAGAACATGAGGATTGAGGGCTTAACGAGGTTTTCTACAGTTTACTCATTATATCGCGCATCTGTTTAAAAGCAAATTATTTTCTCAGTTTGCAAGATATGAGAAACTCGCACAGAACATTGCCTAAAACACTAGCTAACGATTACGAAAAACAAAATCTGTTGTTAAATGTTCTCGTTGCCATGGTAACAAGATCGGTTTGAAAAAGATTGTATAGTTTCATCAAACAAGAGATTAAAAAAAATTGTAGCAGCCATTTTTTTTAACTTGAAAAACTGTGTTTTGAAAATAAAAAAGATCGGCTCCTAGGATTTTTTAAAGTTTAGAAACGTTTTCGTCGAAGGAAACACGAGAAAAATCCGTTTTAGTGAATTTTTAGTGTAAGACATCAGAAAAATGAGGATTTCGATTTTCCCGGGGGCTTATTTCCCGGCGTGTGAATAAGCTTATTTTTCATTTTGACTTCCTGACTTCTATAATATTTATGATCTGTTGGAGATCATAAGCTATGAAAATTAATCATAATTTGTGAAATCAAGGCTTACCATGAATGAAGAACGCAAACAGAGCACTGGCCAATGAAATGCTCCGAACAAACAATTCTCTAATTTTATAATTAAACATGCTGACATATAGATCGTTCTCATATGCCAGCCCCTGGTATAACAATATATATCGACCAAGTGATTAATTAGTATGCATCAATGGAGTTAATTAATACAAAAATTCTAAAACCGTATTCGGATGATTTAAGATCGAGAAAGTTATACCAGTGGATTTTTTATGAGAGGAGTTATGATGAAATTGCTTCGGAATTATTTGTCTGTCCCAACACGGTCTTCAGGATTTTTACGTGGGTAATCTAAATACAACTACATGCATGAAATAGTGAATAACATCATCAGCTCTACTGTTTGAGTATTTGGCGTGGAGACGATGTGCCGAGATGTCCGCATGCTTAAAATAAGGTACAAGAAGCTATAAACATTGCTCATTATTTTATGCTCTGTACTAATGAACTCCAATCACAATGAATTAAAATCGTCTGGACTCACGAATCGGCCTAGACAAACAAGTCGTGCTTAGTGGCTCGAACACAATGATTTTAAACGCAGGATAATTTAATTAACAGAATTTCACCCATTATACATTTCACATGAATTTGACCGTGTAGGTCAAAACATTTTTGTCAACAATGTCCTTTGAGACATTGTTGCCTAAATGCATTGGTATTAAATCTCACACATGACAATTAACAATTAACAATTAACAATTAACAATTAACAATTAACAATTAACAATTAACAGATCGAAGGTTTTCCGCATTGAATGGATCGAAGAGATTCATTTCAGCCGACGTATTTCTCGTCAAGGAATTGAACACACGAATTCAACATTATACGTGATCAGGATTCTTCAACAGAGAAAGTGCGATGAGTTCTTCATTAGATATAGCACAGATAACGGTTATAATTTGGTACCCATGATGCGCAGTTTAACCCCTGTATCCGAATTGTCGAGCAATTTTATCCTGCATGGAAACATACTACTAACGGTAGCTTATCAGTAGACAGGAGATCCGTTGTTCTATGTAGCCATGGGATAATAAAGTCAGTAGTGGGTTTATCAATATGTACAAACAATGTTGATTCGGATTCGAAACACTAATTTCTGCTCTAAATTGTTGCCTGAGGTTTTCGTTTCGCCGAAGGGCAATTCGCTGTATCTATAAAAGAAATCCGTTGCGTTATGAATACTCTATAGGTAAAAGGCCAGGCAAATAATTTCATTAAGATAAAGCTGCTTTGTCGCATTCACATTGGAAAATAGACAATGCAAATCGTCTGGACTCCCAAATCGTCCTATAGACAAACAAGCCGCGCTTTCTGCATGATAGCGGCACGAACACAATAATTTTCGCCCGATTTTGCATTTCATTAGAGAGGTTAAGATACCCCGGTTCCGGTCTACGTGTACGAGTATCGCCATTTCGTTTACCAATTTTTGCTGATGTCAGCATTTTTACACGTAATTTCTACCCGTTTCCCCGCGGTAAACCATGGTCTACTCGTAAAAGACAAACAGGTACGGGTGTTTTGTGTTTACCATTTGTGGGCCGTTTAAATAGTAAACATTTTCAACATCTTACCCAATGCACTTATGCTTGTCAAAGTTTTCAACAATCTATGGCGAACCTCAACAGCGAAAGTTGCCATTCTCTGATAGGTTTACGCACGCCGGAATATCTTGCATTTCTTAAGTTACAAGTCCTTCCCCGGTTTACGGGTACGGGTACGTGTATATCACCCGTACCCGTAAACCGGAATCAGGGTATCTTAACCTCTCTATTATGAATTTGTCCGTTTAGACAAATTTCCGCATTCAAACGTGATTTGGGTTCATTAGTACAGAACACAAAATCAACAATATTTATACCCAGGGGCGTAAGTCCTGATGGGGGGTGAGGTGGTGCAACCGCCCCCCCCCCCCATGTTGTAATATTGCAGTTTTGTCGAGCAATATTAGCAATTCTAACGTCGGGAAAAAAATGTAATTCAGCAAAACATTTTACATAATATAGTAATAATTGTAGGAAAATTTTTGGTAAATATACGAAAATATTAACGAGAAATGGGACAAATTTCGGTAAGTTAGTGAAAAATGGTATGTCCGAAAATCCACTCGCTCACCAACCATTTTGGGAAAAAAATATTAATTAGCGCCTGAAATGTCCGTACTTCCGCCACGCCCTTTTGGTTGGGCAAAATAAGCTCACCCCCCAGCCGTAATACCCAAGCTACGGCCTTGTTTATACCTTCTTACGCATTCATGCATGTAGCTGTATTTGCGGTGTTCGAGGTATACTGTCCATAATAATATACTCTTCATGGGGAAATAACGGTTTGCTACCACTCGGTCAACAAAGCCTACAACGCTTCAAAATACCCGTGTTACGTTCAAAAAATTTTTGTAATAACTCCAAATATACATTTAAAATCACCACACGAGTTGATGAATACTAATTAATCACTTCGTCGATATATTGTTATACTTGAATTGGACTCGGCGGCTCGTAAGCCACTTTTTTGTTTTTTTCCACTTTATTGCGTCATACTGTGTATCTAACATGAAGATGACAACGACAAAATCTTATCTATTTGTTAATTAAATGATATACTAGCTTCTTAGGTATATGTATATGTAGACTGATTACCCCTGAGGTGCTTACAACCATAAGCATATTATATTAGATACTCAATATAGTATCTTCTTGTAATTCTTATGAAGTGTCAATAGTGTAATTTAGTCAACGCAAGCTGTATGCATAGTCTCAGTTATTAGGCAACTGGTAATTTGCCCGTGGTAAGCCGCGCCGAGCTTACAAATTTGTCATGTATATGTAACATACTACAATTTATATAATTTATTTGCGTTGTAGAGGAACTTCAAGAGAGCGTTTATTCGTAGCCTAGATGAATAACAAACGATATTGATTTAGTTCCTAACCATAAAGTAGGCAATTTATTTGAATGCCAAAATGAAAAATTGTGTATTATAAAAGTCGTTGTTTAATAAACGTAGTGAATGGTGTACATATGAGTCACGATTTAGGAACAGTTACTATTTTTAGAATTGTAGGGTTAGGAATTTGGATTGGGGTTTGGAATAGGGAAAGGGTTATGATTAAGAGTAGTGTTAGGATAAAAGTAAGGATTAGGTTTAGGATTAGGGACATAATAAGGGTTAAGTTTAAAATACAAAGAATACAAAATCACAAAAGTCTAAAAGTAGTAACTCTTCCTAAAACGTGACAGGTATAGTGAATTTCGTCAAGTTCAACATTATTCTTTTTCATACTATACTCTAGCTGTTTTATAATTAGATACTGCGAGTAATAACGCCATCTTGTAAACTCAAGATATAAGAAATTTCGTGAGAACAGGACACAAATTAAGATGGTGTTACTTTGCGTTATATATCACATTTTCTATCTTAAAAAGATAAAATTCCGGACTCATTCCGAAGCGATTTAGTTTATAAGTTCAGTTTCATGTGTTCATAAGTTCAGTTGCATGTGTAGGTTGCTATATAATTAAATAGGCAAATCGGAAAAGCATTTGCCAACACGGCGGTTTTCGGAACATTCACAGATTTGCTCAAAAGTGCTAATTCAAATCTTTTGTCAAAACGTGAACGCGACAACTTTTTACTTGACCTTAACAATCTCTATGACAACCTCGATAACTGTGACTTTCGAGTGAGAACGGCGTCTAAAACCTCCTAAGGACTAATTATTATTCGTTTCTACACTGTTACAGGGGTAGATCTAGGATTTTTTGCACGTTAATCAAAATTATATGACGTCATCGATGACGTAATGACGGGATGATAGTCCAATTCTCGTGGGAGTATAGATGTTTTATTTTATCAAGCTACAGCTCCGTAAATGGCATACTTTTCCCAATTGACAATGTTAAGCATATGACAGACTGTTACGACCTATATCAGGGCTCATTAGCATGCCTAGGAAACACATTTACCAACAATAGTAAACCGTGATCCGATCATCGGACATGGACAGCCCCTTGCAAAGGCTGAACACAAGCACTTTGGTTTTAAGGCGCCAGAAACCCGCCTTCACACGTTTTGCAAGAGCAAAAGCAATAATGGGTGACAATATGAGACATTTCATGGATGAGACATTGCTCAGTTTTTCGCACGATCCCAAGTCAATTTTAACCCTTTATCCCCCCACCTAAAATGAACAATCTGGTTTTAAGGTGCCATGCAGAAACCCGCCTTCACATATTTTGCCACAGCAAAACTAGTTTGGTTAGAAATGGGTGAAAATATGGGACATTTCATGGATGTAAAATTGAGCATCAGTTTTTCCCTTTACACCCCACCCCCAGTCCCCCTATTGCTAATAGGTAACTAACTCCTTTATTTTGCTATACTTTCCACTATATGAAAATGTATACTATCGCAAGGAAATTCTGCCTCACAGAG